TTTTTTTAAAAAAATCAAATCCAAGAGAAAAACCACAAGGTAAGGGGCTCTGTCAATCTCAAATACGCAAAATCATCCGAGTAAGGAATTGGCCTGGACAGGCTCCCAGCTCCCACTCAAACTGACATTCCATGATTCCCATATTTTTGTAAGGAGGATCCCTGAGTCATCCAGACATTGTAAAATAATATCCCATCTCTGCTGCTTTAGAAGGCAGAACCATGTAAGCTCTGAGTTTTATGTCAAGAAGTCATGCTTTTAAAAGTTCGGCATTTGAAGAGGAGATGGATGCACATCTATTGAGCACCTACTACATACATACCATCTTAAACTTATTAACCTTTTAACAATCCTACAAGAACCATCCCCTTTACAGTTCACAGGAAAGGAGACAGATTTGCAGAGAATTGAAGGAGGGTATCTCAGCTTATATTGCTTTTTTTTTTTTTTTGGTCCGGAAATTGAACCCAGGGGTGCTTAACCATTGAACCACATCCCCAGTCCTTTTTTATATTTTATCTAGAGACAGGCTCTCGCTAAGTTGCTTAGGGCCTTGCTAACTTGCTGAGGCTGGCTTTGAACTGGTGATTCTCCTGCCTCAGTCTCCCGAGCTGCTGGGATTACAGGCATGCGCCACCGTGCCCAGCATCAGCTTACATTGCTAATGCTTTTCTCATTTCACCCTTGGCTTCCGCTAGTCCCTGGTGCCTGTGAGAAATACCTGCTCTTTTTATTATTTGCTTATTTTGAGGCAGGATCCTACCATTTGCCCAGGCTGGCCCCAAACTGCTGGACTCAAGTGACCCTCCAACTTCAGCTTCCTGAGCACCTGATTTACACGTATATGTGGCACTCTACCTGGCAGAATACCTGCTTTTTTATAACAGGTGAACAAGACCTTGCTGGATCCACAGGGCCTGAGTTTGGGTGATGCTCTCTGGAGTAGTGGGGATGGTGGTCACTGTCCCATCAGCTAACTGTGGGGCCCGCTGTTCCTTCCCTGGCCTCCACAGCTTTGGTCATTCTGAGGGGTACAGGGACTAGTCCTGCAAGACTCCCTATCATGAGGAAGGCGTGGGCTGACCTGGAAAGCAGTTTTGTCCCAGCATCCTCCAGGGGAAATGACTCCTGGGGGGACTTGATGGTAACAGGCTGTTTTTCATTCTTTAATCACTCAGAAAAACACATTCATTTCAGTTTATTCAAAACAGTGGAAAATCATTGAAGTTTTTCCTGTGTAAAGGTCAAACTATAAAAAGATAAGTGGACTCAGAGAACTCCAGGCTGGTCGCAGAACATGGCCGTGCATTAGGATGGATCCGAAAAAGGCTTTAATCCTCCTTTGGAAGCAGCTCATAATAATCCCCTCTGTACTTTCCCCTATGTGTGTTAAATTCTTGTTTTTGGGTTCAAGGACCCAAAGCAAGTAACTTTTAATGGGTAGAGCACCATCTGTACAGACTGGAGCCCTGGCTCAGAATCCTCACCAGCTGCGATGCACCAAGTGTAAAACTCTGAGCGAGTATCCTCACCTCCTGAGCCACCTTTTCCCCATTTGAAAATTGGGCACACTCCCCATCTCAGTGCTCTTCTGAAGGGCCCAGTGTGCCACCTGGCAAGGTCCAGGCAGGTGGACTCTGAACTTTCCTCACCTTCCCACCCATGACTTTCCACCTCAGAGGTAGACAGATGAAGCCTGGCGTGGTCTGCCAGGAGGGCACTAGCAGCTGCACCCTGGAGACCCTGCTCTGGCCTGCTTCCGCACCTTGACCACCTGACTACATTCCCAGACTCTGATAGGGCTCTGCTGTGCATGGACTTGGGTGACCTGTGAAGTCCTTGCTGCTGAGAGATAAACAAGTCACTGTGAGATCCCCATCACAAGGACATTTTAAAAGGGCACTTGGTAATTTAACTGCTTTTGTGAAGCTGAGCGAGTGATGGGAGGACGAGAGAATTTTGAAAACGCTTAAGAACTTGGATAAAATCTTTCAGAGTGTCTTTGGGAAGATAAGGAGTGGCTGTCCCCTCTACTTCAGCAAATCCAGCCTTCGCACATGCTCAGGTGTGTGCAGACACCTGTGGTGTGGGCCAGCCTGGTCTCTCCAACATGAGCCACAACACTGGTGGGTAGAGGAGGGGGTTTGGGAGATGAAGTCAGACCTGATGCTGGGTCTGGCAGCCTGGTTTTCTGGCAGGGGAATCTCTGGGCCTGGGGGTCCTCCAAGCCCCACAGAGGGGAGCTGGACTTTGTTTCCTAATTTGCACAGGTAGGAACAGAAGGAATGGCATGTATAAAGACCTGTAGAGGAAAGCACTGGCTTTGGGCCTGGCCACCAGGGGAGGTATGTGGCATAATATGAGGGAAGCTGGTAGCAGATCCTGCAGACATCAAATCAAGTGACGTGTCTGATTTGTGATCTATAAAGGTCACATGGGTACCAAGAGGAAGGCTCAGAGTCAGCAGGTCCAGGTAGAAAGTTGCTTTGGTCACCCAGGGATGGAGTGGCAGCATGAAGATAACACTTTTAGACGAGTGATGGACTAATGACTGGTGTGATTTTGAAGGCCAGAGAGGACAGGCCTACCGGGAGGTCTCAGGCCTCTGGCCTGAGTAGTTGGGTGGATGGGGTGGCCTCACTCTGAGGTGGAAGATGGTGTGCGTTTGGGTGTCAGAGATGGGCAGATAGCTGTTAAGGTACCTGAGAGACATTCAGGTGGGGCCAGGCCTTGAGAGCAGGGGACCTCCTAACATACAGAGTTAGGGAGAGGGTCAAGCCAGAGATTGAAAAGTGGCCAGCAGCTAGGCGCAGTGGCACACGCCTGTAATCCAGTGTCAGGAAGCTGAGGCAGGAGGAGTACAAGTTTGAGGCCAGCCTCAGCAACTTAGTGAGGCCCTAAACAACTTAGCAAGACCCTGTCTCAAAATAAAATATAAAAGGAGTTGGGATTGTGGCTTAGTGGTTGAGCGCCCCTGGGTTCAATTATCAGTACAAAAGAGAAAAGAAAAGAAAAAGTGGCCAGTAACTGAAATCCAGAGAGTGGATGAAATCCCACAGGAAGAGTGCAGAGACCTAAAGAGGGCCAGGAAGAAGCTCCTGAAATTCCTGACAGTGAACCCTGTAGACAGCCCAAGGAGTGGGCAGCCAGGTTGTTAGGAGAGCAAGAAATAGAGGTCCTGAGACAGGAGCCTGAGGGGTCAGGCAGCAGGGAGGTCTTTGAGGTTGACGGGCCTGATCTGTTTAAGGCCCTAGCTGAGGTTTGAGGCAATTCTGCAACTTTGCAGGTGGTTTGTTTTCTTGGACAGAAGGTTCAGAGTGGGCTTCCAGGGAGTTTCCAGAAGATCTGTCGGGAACTTTATCCTATGTCTTAAATTTTCTCCCTGTCGGGACCTCAGTAACCTGGAAAGGGTAACCATGACTGCTGTGTTTATATTATTTTAATAAAAAAATATAGTGGATGCTTATTTTATTAACATGAGGTTTATCTTACTATCCTTTATGCTCTTCAAATGAAAAGATATGTAACTTCACATATAATTTGTAGAGTTTTGGAATGCTTACCTTCAAACTTGTTTTCTTCAACACTGGGGGGCGGGGTGGTCACTGAGGCCTGTCTTAGACCATTAAATATTTAATGTAACATGCTCAGCTTCACAACATAAAAGAGAAAGGGCAGTTTTTGGCTTAGATACAAATGACTCTGCCCTCAGATGTGTCCAACAGCCTGATTTAGTATTAAATCTCTAAAATGATTGATTATCCATTAGGGTAGCTGTTTAAAGAGTTCATTGCATCAGATTCAAACTGATAACATCTTCCCTGCAAGGCAGCGAGGTGAGACCTGGCAGAACCACACGGAATCTGAATGGAGCTATGGATTCTGCCTCCTGGGGGACTCAGACCAGACTCTATTAAGGAAAGTAACAGGCTGCTGTGGCTACTGTGCCTGGTGACCATGCATGTGCCAGCCACTTCCTGCTGGACAGGTCAGGGAGAGCTCTTTGCAAGGAACAAACATTGTCACAGGGCATAGCTCAGAATCAGACCCTTTTCCCTGCTCTGTGCCTCCTAGGCCCCCTGAATTCTCCCTTGTCCTCGGCCAGTCCCTCTCATCTCCCCATCCCTGGGGCCTCAGACTCTGAGCTGACCCAGGCCCACACTGCACCCACCTTGCTTCCCTCCTCAGGTCATTGCAGCTGCCCCAAGGGGGGGTTGTCCCTAATCCTTCCTGAACCTCTCATCCAGTCAACACAAGCAAACTTTACGAAGTCCAAGTCTAAGGCCATTATCATCTGCTCCTCACCTTGGCAGGTTTCCTATTAATAGCACCACCCAATTCGTCCCCTAATTCTGCCTTGTCCTTGTATGCTTAGCAAACAGTTTACTTTGGCAGACTCACCAGGAAGTGATAATACTGCAAAAGCCAGGCGGTTTATGGGGCTTTTATTTCTGAAGTTGTGTATGTAGGTAGGTGTGCCTCAGGTTGGTGTTCAACAGTTTTCAGGCTTAAGTAATCGTTGTTCATGCTAAAAGGAACAGTACTGGGGCTTCGGGCTCTGTCTGTGTGGTGAATCCAAGCACAGGCAATGTGCCATATATTCTAGGGGCAACTTGACTGGTCCTAGGGCCTTGTCCAAGCCCAAGTGGGAGGCATGTCATTGCAGGACGCCAGTTCCCTCTGAGCTGTGTGGCTGGAAGGCTGCTGGGCGCTCAGTCATGCATGCTGTACCCAAAGGCTCTTTGGAATATTTCACAGCTATGTTCACTGGAGGTTAAGCCCCCTCCTGTGGTTGGTCTGTGGCCAATGCCTGGCAAATGGGGAGAGAATAGTGAGGCCAGGTCGCTTGACTTCCACTTAGGGAAACTCTGAGGGGCTGTCTTGGCTCTGAGCTGGGTCTCTTTCTTCCTTGCCCCAACCCCTCCTTTTTCCCTTCCTTGCATTCACCAACAAACCTGCACACACTCAAGAATCCTAGTCTGTGGCCAGCCGCCAGGGCTCAGCTGACCAAGGCTGGGCTGACCCACCCTTTCCCCTTCCAGAGCCAATCTGGCAAAGCTGTGCTGGGGCTGCTCAGGTGTTTCCAGCTCCTCTGACCAGGTGGGACCAACTCAATTGTTCTATTCTACTCTTTTGTTACATTCAAGCCTCCCTAAGAGGCCGCCTGGGAGGCATTTGTTTGTTTTTGGACTTAGGAGAAACTATAGTTTTAGGCTTTGGTTTGTTTTGGTTTCGATTTGTTTTATGCTACAAACACCAACAATTGGGGAAGAGATCAGGCTTTCTTTGCTTTTGCTGCTCGGAAGCTTGGAGCCTAGGCCTTGGAGGACTGTATGGTGCTGGACAAAGACCCTGGCACCTTCTGAGTTTGCTGAGCTGCCTTCCTTGCTGTGGTTTCTGGCTTTTTTGTGCTTTATCACACAGTTGCTCTGAGCTTCTCAACCCCTGTGTGGAATGAGGTTGGGTATGATTGAGTAAACACACATGCAGCTGTGGAGGTGTGGTGTCACGCAGGCCTGTCCACCCATAACCAGCTCTGGACATTTGCCAAGACATAACTTCTCTAAGCCATAGTTTATTCAGTCAAGGAGTGGGCCTGATGCATGCGCCACAGGATTACTTTGAAGATAAATATAATAAGCATATGCTTAGTGCCCTTCAAGTACTAAGTGCTCAAAATATGGCAGACATTCATAACAATTGTCTATAAAATCATGTTTCTCTCAAGAAACTGCCTTACCATGTGATCAGATTTGTCCCTTCTTCCTTCCTGTTGTGTTTTGGCTGTCAGTCAAGATAACTTTGTGACCTGCTGGGTTTCCCTGTATTGTGGCAGAAAGATGCCCACGCAGGGGTCTATAGCCTGCCGCAGGCTTATGAGGCAACAGAAAGGGCACTGGGAATTTTTGCTGAGAGTTGATCTAGGCAGGTGGATATGCAATCAAAATACCAATGAGAGAAATGAGCACCTACTTGGCTGGAGGAGACATAAACTCTTTATGTAAACTGAGACTTCATAAGATGAGAAAAGGGTTGTGGATGAGAGATGGGTGATGAGTTATTTCACTTAAGACGATGCAAATCTATGCCTTTGAATACTTTAAATATAACCCTCTGTTATAAAAAGAATTGCATGAAATTTTTTAGAGCTGAGATCTTTCTATGGGTGAGAGACTCACTTTCCTGATAGGGACATGTTCCCTGAAATGTAAGTGGGGAAGGCAAAGAACAACAGCCATGTTAGCATCATGTTCCCCTGTAGGCAGCTTAGGAGGATCCAGTGCATTCTGTGGTCTACACCAGCAGCCTGTATGTCACATGTTACCTTGCAAACCAGTTCAGAACCCATAGCAGAGCAGAGAAGCCCATTTCAAAGGGAGGTGGCTTGGAAAGGTCAATCTGCCCCTTGCTCTGCCCTCTCATACATGTCAGTTGGGTGTGAACCATGGTCTTGAGATTGTCCATAGATAGATCTGAAACTGGATTTCCTTGTTTTTAAGGATGACGAAGAGTCCAGAGAGCAAGGACCCCATCCCTATTCTGGGTCTAGAATGGTCCTGCTGGGTGCATCCTTTTGGGGAGGAAAGAGGGACAGTATGAGGACAGGATGTTGATGGTGGGGGTTAAGGGTAGGAAGAAGGAGTATTAGGGAAAGATGGAGGGAGGGTGGTATAAGGTCAAAAATGGATCCAGAATAGGCCCCAGCATGATCTGCCTGTAGAAGTGGCCTCAGGAGGAGTGAGAAGAGCAAAGAAATGGGGTATGCTAAAGGACAGAGCAAGTATCTGGCTTGCTGGCTTGGTCTTTTAGTTTTTTTTTTTTTTTCCATACCAGGGATGGAGCCCAGGGGTTCTTAGCTGCTGAGCTATATACCCAGCCCGATTTTTTTTTTTTGAGACAGGGTCTTGCTAAGTTGCTTAAGGCCTCCCTAAGTTGCTGAGGCTGGCTTTGAACACGTGAATCCTCCTGCCTCAGCCTCTGGAGCCTCTGGGATTACAGGTGTGCATCACTATGCCTGGCTTTGGCCATTTAGTTTTGAAAAGATGAGGGATGCTAGGTCCCACCTCTCTGGGGATAGTTTAGAAGGGGTCTGAGGTGGGTCTGGAGGAAGCTCTCCAGAGCTGCTATGGGTCATTAGTGAAACAGGAAGAGGCTCAAGGTTGATGGCCCTTGAGCTGGGATCCTGCCACAGAGACTGGCCAAAGTTCTAGAGCACAGACTAAGCATATTAAACCTTCCTTTGGGGGATCAACCAGAGCAAGAGGACCATCTATGACTGGTCTAGGGATCTTCTGCTCCATCACCCACAGGCAGATGTGGGACCAATGTCCTCCTCAATCCATAGCCTGAAGGAGAGGGCAGAGTAGGGCCATACTTTCAGTCTCTTTCAGCATCTATTGACAGTTTTTTCCTAAAAACCTGTTACACATTTCCTTGCACATCTAGAGTTTTGATGAGTGAGAAAACCTACATATTTCACTTCCATTTTGATAACAATAACTTTCTTCCTTTCTATGGAGGATCAAAGATAGCCACCGCCCCTCCCCCACTCAACAGAACACAGATGCCCCAGGGCCCAGCTTCCATTTTCCCCATGTAATGATGATAATGAGATAACAATCATATTGAAGCCAGATTCTTCAAATGAGTATAATGACAATAATGATAAAGGCAGCATTGGAGAGTGGGGCAGGGGTGGGTGGTGGGTGGTGGGGAAGACTTGGGAGCTAGACTGTCTGGGCCCATGTAGCATTTGGAGCCCCACCTCTCAATAACTGTGGGAAATTGGGAACTTTGTTCCCAGGAACCCTCATCTGTCAAACAGAGATCAAAGTAGCTAATCATTGAAACACATTTAGCAGAGTACCTGGCATGGGTTAGTGTCCTGTCCTGCTATTGCTATTCTTATTACTGATATCATTACTATTGTTGTTATTTCTACTACTGATATCATTATTGTTATGACTGTTCTTAATATGGATATCATGACTGTAGGCACCAACACTTTTTCCTGTACATGTATCACACTATCACAATCCTATAAGGGAAAAGGCATAATTACTATTATTCCACTTTGCAGATGAGGAAACTGAGGCTAAGAGAGGTAGAGGGACTTGGCCCAAAGACCCCCAGCCTGATGCAGAGCGATAGCATGCCTTAGTAAGACCAAACACCTAGGTGACCCAGGATTAAAGGGATTCTTCTCCAGTACCGGATAGTCCTTCCATTGTCCCTGTGCAGCAGGAAGGGAGGTTCTACTGCCTCTCTTTAATGCATGGGGCAATAGGGCCAGGTGGGTTAAGTGGCTCCTAGGTGGCTCTGCCTTCTTCAGCTAAGCTGTTTTTGAGCCAGCTGATTAGAACTACTCTCCAAAATCACAATTTAACCATCCATTGTTATGTGCATAGAAGCAACTGCCCTGTGGACCATCCCACCTGGTGCTGTCACAGTGATTAATAAGGATATTCAGTCCTCACATGAGGCCTCTCAGCCAAGGCCTTAGAATGCTTTGCAAACATTAATTAAGCTTCATGGCAGTGACTCAGCTAGTGGGGACCCTGAGCCCACTTTATATATCTTCATATAATCACTCCCTTATCAAGTCACATCCTTCAGCCCAGCCAGGCCTGGTAGGTATTCCCCATCCCTGAAAGAATTTGGCCAAAATCACTTTTCAGAGGAAAGACTTGTGTCTTGCCCTTCTAGACTTATAACCAATGCTCAGAGCCATTTCACATTTGAGTCAGGACAATGCCAACAGCCTAATGCCTGAACCCTACCTGTGCCTAACTGGAGGCAGATGTAGCTTCTGACCTGTACCCACCAGCATCTGCCCACAGGGACCTCTGGAGTCAGGTCTATCCCTCCAACACCATCTATATCTCACCCCCATCCTTCCTTCATCCACATCACCCCACATCACCAGCTCTGCCCTTGCCCATCTGCCACCTATTTGCTGTGGCTCTGACTGCCTGGAGCTTATAGGGAGGTGGGTAGAAACTGATAAGTCAGGGTAAAAAGCTTGGGCCTCCACCCAAAGATGGGGGTAGCCACAAAAGGGACAGATTTGATCAAAGGTGTGCTTTGGCATGACAGTACAGGATGGTATGAGTGTGGGGTGAGGGATGGGGAGACCAGAGGCAATGGGGCCAGGAAGAGGCATGGCAATGAGCCAGGGGAGGAGAGAGGTGCTTCTAGTTCAGCTGTGGCAATGGAGGGGAGTGCAGGGAGGGTTTGAGTAATGTTTAGGAAGGAGACTGACAGGACTCTGTGACTACATGGAGGTAGGATGAGGGAGAGGGAGGAGCCCTGAACAGAGCTCACTACCTCCTGGCCCACTCTGCTAGGCATTTCTGTTCCCTGTGTCAGGCACTGGGCTTAGTAAACTCATGACCAACTTCGTAATGTTTGTGCACCAGTACTCTCCTTGCTCTCCTGGGGAAGCCATGGCTAGTAAACAACCAAGTCCAAACCCTACTTTCTCAACTCCATCACCTCCTGGGCACATCCTTTCTGGCTTGGTCAGGGACTAGAGCCTGACACTCATACCTCAGTCTCCATTCCTGGGCCACTGACATTCCAGGGCACTACTGAATTGACCCGCATAGAGTCTGAGGGGGCGAGCATTTGTTTTCTTCCACACTTGATTGATGAAACTACAGTTGTGGGGGGAAGGGCCTGCCTCTATGTTAGGCTAAATATTGGCCCCCGAAAGATGTCCACACCCCAACCCCCAGAACCTATGAATATGTTACTTTATGCGGCAAAAGGAACATTGCAGATATGATTAAGTTAAGGATCTTCAGATGAGACTGGATTTTCTAGGTGGGTCCAGAGTAATCACAAATGTTCTTACAAGAAGAAGCAAGAACGCCAAAGATGGATAAGGGGAGATGAGAGAAGCCAAAGCCGAAACAATGTACTTTGAAGATGGAAGAAGCAGCCATGAACCAAGAAATACAAGAAGCTTCTAGAAATTAGAAAAAGGCTAAGAAATGGATTCTCCCTTAGAAATTCCAGAAGGAACACCAAGCTTACTGACACTTTGATTTTAGGTCAATGAAACTGATTTTAGATTTCCGACCTCCAAAAATGCTAAG